GGCGCACACCTGTAATCCTAGCATTCAAGAGGCTGAGGCAGGAGAATTGCTGCAAGCTCAAGACCCACCTGGGCTACATATGAGTGCAGGGCCACCTTGATCTACCAGGTCAAATTTTTTCCTTTAGAGCTATGTTTATCACAGTGGATTGTATTCCTGAGTCATAACAGCAATAAATATGAAACCTGTAATGATAGAGAGGTAGTAAAATTATGCTTCGGGTGAATGAAATAGACAGCTTTACAGTGTCTACACTGATGGCTCAAAGTGTAAACACTGCCAAAATGAACCCATAAACTAGAGGAGGCCCTGACTGGGTACCGTAAGAGCAAGCAAGCTGACTGCAGGAGACACTGATGCATCATTCCTGGCTGCTGCTTTTGAAGTCCAGAAGCAGACATGCGCCTTCATAACCCAGTGCCTCGTGGGTACCAACTAAACGTTCTTTGACTGACCTCTTAATTAACCCATTAATCAGTGAAGAACGTTACACATAGCAAGCATTTTACCCAGTCCCAGGAAACCTGACTGATACAGGCAAAATCCTCTAATGCAAAAGCCTCTTTGATAACAAAGGATTGAATCTATCATACAGTTTTATAGAATACTTGAATCAGAAAAAAGTCACTAGTGAGCCCATACACTCTAGGATTCCTTTTGCTTATGCCAGGATTGCTTGGCAGGCTGGGTGCTTTAGCTGGCAGCTCGGTGTCAGGGCACTGTGTCACACTGTGTGTCACCAGCCCAGGGAAGGATGGAAATTCAAAATCCAGGTTATGCTGAATGTGTATCTCATACACACCATCCTACAGCCAGAAGACTACAAGTGGAACCACTGGAGGCCAGGGACCATTTGTGATTCTAAACCACCCTCCAAAGATCTAGCTGAGTTTATCATCCATAGCTGCATAGACATGAGACTGGGAGGCTGAAGCAGGAGGATCATCAGTTTAAAGCTCATCCTGAACAACTTAGCAAGTTAGTGAGACCTTGTCTCAAAATTAAAAATTAAAAGGGGCCGGGATGTAGCTCAGTGCAGAGGCCCTGGGTTCAAGTCCCAGCACCATGCACAGAAAGAAAGAAAAGGAAGAAGAAAATGACCACTCCTCAGTAAAGCACTTTGATAAGGTCATGATTGGATTACAATTAATGGACTGAAGATAGAGAAAACATGGTATTAAACTTACTTCAAACTTGAGTACCCTGGATGCACCTGTTAACCTGAAAGCACTAAGCGGTTTCTCTAGCATACAACTCTACTTGTTCCATTTTTTCTGCAAGATCGCTGTGGCCCTGTGACCTGCAGCCAACGTGGCCTGCACAGAAGTCTCTCTCTGGTTGTTGGATGACAGCAGTGGTGACCCTTCAGCAGGCCCTGGCCACAGGCAGAGGCTCCTCAGCAGCTGCCGAGGCCCCGAGGGTTGCAGAGATCTTGGGACCTCCCGGTGGAGGTGGGCATTATTTTAACCAGACTTGAAGCAAGCCATGAGAGTTGCTTTGGGGAATAATTCAGTGAGCTAGAAGATTTCTGATCTACAAAGAATACAGTACTGTGTTTAAGTTACTTTAAATTATACTTAACTTGAGATAAATATTGCTCAAAGAAGTATGTGGGTCTTAATTAAGTTAAATATCCAGGCAGCCTTTACTCTAAAGGATCTTCAAGCATGTGCTGTCCTGCATCCCTGATTAGAAATTGGTGTCACACCATCAAATTTTATTTTCATCAGAGCCACTAAATATATTTCTTTGAAGTCCACTCTACTATGACTCAGCCCCCAAATACTTTTTTTTTTTTTATCGGTACCAGTGATCGAACTCATGACCGTGCGCTTGCAAGGCAGGCGCTTATGCTGCTGAGCTAAATCCCCAGCCCCCAAATTTTAATTTTTTACCTTGATAGTTAAACCTATAATATTAGACAGAAGCTTTGTACTGATTTTTTTCCAAATCCAGGATTTGTAAGTTTTTCAGTACATGGGGCTGGGGATTTAGCTCAGCGGCATAAGCATCTGTCTTGCAAGCAGGCAGTTGTGAGTTCGATCCCTGGTACCAATAAAAAAAAAGTTTTCCAGTACAGCACCCAACAACTGCACCCACTTCCTCAGATCCCGTCCTGGCCCCAGACCTCGATCCGGATTCAGCTTCACCATGGAGGAGGCAGATGGAATCCTTACCCATTCCTTGTGGCAGGCCGGCACGGCAGCCCCCCAGCTGTGCAGACCCATATGCCTTCACCCCTGAGCTGTGGCCCGCTGCCTGCGTGTGATCCACCCTGTGGTGGGCTCTGGCCTTTGCCTTCTGCTGCCCATTGCCGTGTCTGCCTGGTTCCGCCTGGTCAGGAGCCTGGCTCAGGTCTGCATGAACCTCCCCCCCCCCCACTTGGAGCTTGGCTATCAGAACTTTCTCTACCACAGTGGACCAGACCTCCGGGACTTGCTTGTCTTCCCGGCTGAGCAGTCGCCCACCTACCCCTCCTAGGATGCAGTCAGCCCGCATGTCACTTGGCTGTTCTCTTCTGGGTCACTGGGAGCCAAATGCAAGACCAGATGGCCCTTCTCTGGGTCCCACCTCTCCTTTGCACCCCTAATGCAGCACCTCCAGGGCTCGACCCTCCAGCACCCTTTCCATGCCAGCAGGGTGGTCTTGCCTGAGCTGAGCTCCAGAGGAGAGCCTCGGGGGTTCCAGGCAGTCCCTGCTGCTCCAGTCCCTGTGCAGGTGTCGGGGCCTGCTGGGAGAGTGGCTTCACTCCTTGAAAACCATGCCATGCAGCTGAGCCTGCACCTGGGCTGGGACCGCCAGGGGGACGAGGACTGGCTCGCCAGGGTGCCCCACCTTTCCACTCAGGACCACCCCCAAGCTCCACGGCAGCGGCTGCAGAAGCAGCTGGCCAAGCACTTGCTCCAGAGCTGGGGTCCAGCAGGGGCTTGCACACAAGCCCGAAACCTGGGAGAGCTGCTGCAGGCCTGGGGTGCCGGGCCAGGACGAATGCCCCCCAAGGACTCCCACTTCACGCATTCGGAGACCTTCCATCACCTTCCATCTGAAGCCCCAGGCCCAGGCAGCTCAGGTGACAGATGTGCCAGCCACCTCTTGGCGTCCTGAACAGGACGTGCATGCAGCTGAGAACAGAAGTCCCTGCCGCAGCAGCCGGAGGGCGTGAACAGCAGCGTGGAGGATGCTGAAGCCCACACGAAGACACTGGGAATCAGCCTCGCGCAGGGGGAGACTCGGCAGAGTGAGCCAAGCCCTGCAGAGCAGGAACAGGCCCTGAGTGCCAAGAGCCGCGCAGTGGAGCTGCTGCCTGACGGGCGCCAGCCTTGCCCAGCTGCAGCTTGTGGTGGGCAGCAGTGCCCAGGGAAAACCACCGGGTCCGCTTCTGGCTGAATCCCGCCATCTCGGGAAGCCTCAGGCCGGCAGGAAGCTGGAACCTTCCTGGCGCTGCTATCAGGAGGCCCCCGAGTGTCCAGCTGCCCTGAGCGAGGACTGCGGCCAGTGCTTCCAGACCACTGCGGACACCGGCACTGTCTGAGGGAGGTCGGGACCCGGAGGAGCAGACCCACACGGAGATGAGCATGAAGACCTCAGCAACCTGCAGAGGACGCTTGAGGAGCGCAGAGCCCTCCACCGGGAGAATGCTGGCCCCTTGGGCGGGGCTCGGAGGGGTCCCCGTTGGAGGCGGGGCTTGTGCCTGCTGTTCTGTTGGCCACCCAGCTCCTCCCACTGAGGCTGAGACCCAGATCCTCCCACCTCACACACACACACACACACACACACACACACACACACACCTGCCCCGTCCCAATCTGGGGAGATGGTCCAGAAGGCAGAAGTGGCAGCAGGCCATCGGAGAGGGCACTGGGGATCGGGGACTTGGATCCCAAAAAAAGGAGGGGCTTTTCTGAAAAAAAAGTTTTTTAGTATAGCTGAAGGGCTTCTCTTCCTTAAAGAAATGTCATTTTCTTCACGGTGGATTTCTTTCACAGAAATCCCAGCCCCTGGGTGAGCTGCTTACGAACACACACATGCATTGCTTGAATCACTTCTCCGACAGAGAAGCCCATCACTTCTTTTGGTTTTAGAATTTGAGGGCTCTAAAACTGGGGAATCAGTTATATTGATTCTGTGTCTAACTTCAAAAGCCTGTGAAAGTGTCCCACATCTCAAATACAGTGTGTCAACTTCACAAACATGTTCCCCATAACTGGCCTTTAGAAAGGAGAACACAATTCACTAATTCATAAATTGTTGCTGTGTTGCAATTCAATATGACTTTTTTTTTTTTTTTATTTGAGACCAGGTCTCACTATGGAGCCCAGGCTGGCCCTGAACTCTCGAGAATCACCCTGCCTCAGCCTCCTGAGTGCTGGGATTGCAGGCGTGCACCTATTTTTATCTTGTTTTTCCTCCTGACTATTTACCAAAGTTTGAAAACCAAACTGCAATTCCTCCAGAAAATGCTTCAGGACAATTACAATGTGTCACTTCTCCTTCCTTGTTGACTATTATAGTTAGAAAAAAGGTAATACCGCACAGCAGCTGGAAATTCAGAAATACTTTCTGTAATAGAACATGGGGAAACGGATCTTCTGTGAATGAGAAGGGAACCAAGAGCTGATGGAGAGAGGGGGAGGGAGGTAGGGCTGTGTTATAGACAGCACCAGCTGCCCACAAGGAATGTGATCACTGCGTATTGCAAACAAGGACTAATAAAAAAATTTTTTTATTTATTATTTATTTATTTATTTATTTTTAGCCAGTCAAATTTAGCAGTGGGGGGAATAAAAAAATTTTTTAAGAAACACAAACTCCTTTAAAAATATTTTTGGGATTTTTTTTTTATTGGTTTGGTTGTTTGTGACAGGGTCTTTGCTATGTGGTCCAGACTGGCCTTACACTCAATATGCAGCCAGGTGATCCTCCTGCCTCAGCCTCCCGAGTGCTGGCACTAGAGGCTGTGTGCCACCACCATTGACTAAAAGACTATTTTCTCTTGACAGGTTGCTTGCTATGTCTGTGGCCGATACTACAAAACCCCACTCGGATGAGCCCTTGGCCAGGGTGGCCTTGGAGACCGGCAGGAACGGCCAGGGTGCAGGCAACCTGCCCACCAGCAGTAGGCCATCCAGCGGCAGCGTGGACTACAGCCGCTCCCAGTGCTCCTGTGGCAGCCTGCACTCCAACTGCGACTACTCAGAGGACTTTGTGTCCCTGTGCTCCGACCTGGCCACCAACAGGAGCTACCTAGAGCCAAGGGTGGCCAGAGATAAGAGGAGGTTCCACGCGAGCAAGGTTGCCCAGCCTAAGGGTAAGAGGCACAGGGCCCGGAGGCTCCGCGGCCAGGTCTGCAGACACCTGCATTGACTGCCCAGGAGGGTGGACTTCGAGTCCAGCATCCCCACTCCAGGTGGCGCAGGACCCTCTGTGCCATGCTGAGATGCCTAGATCCCACGCCCCCCTCCTTACCTCCTGGGCAGGCTTCTTCCAATATACCAGCCTGAGGCCTCCTGAAGTTTAATGCCTTTCTTTTATTGATTTGATTTTTTTTTTTTTTTTTTTTTTGAGACAGGGTCTCACTATGTGGCCCAGGCAGCCCTTGAACCTGCAGCAATCCCCCTGCGTCGGCCTCCTGAGTGCTGGTATCACAGGTGCATCTCACACCTGGCATGTTTTTTAAAAGTTCTGTCTCTGTGCATTTGTGAACTTTTCTAGGGGAAAAGACCCACAGCTGTTGCCAGATTCTCAAAAGGTCAAAAGCTCCTTTTTTAGAGATGAGGGGTGGCTCAGGCGAGGATGAGTGTGACCCCGTGACCCCATGGAGAGGACCAGGGTCAGGAGCTTACCTCAGCACAGCAGCCTCCTGCTGGGTCCCAAGAGTGCACAACACTGAAGTGGGGCATAGGGGCCCTGATTTGAATTGACCTGAGACTGACCTTCATTTATTTTACTCAGTGTGAATAGTTACATATTTCACCACAACAATATTTTTTGATTAAAGGGTGCTGTTTTAGACCCTACTGGGAAAACTATGAAATGATAGATACATAGATAGGGATAGACAGACAGACAAACAGATAGATCTCCATAAAATAAAACAAAAAATGCTGAGGGCCAGGTGTACTTGTGCATACCTATTGTCCCAGCTTCTTGGAAGGCTGAGGCTGAGGCAGGAGGATTTCTTAAACTCAGGAATTCAAGACTAGCTTGGGCCACATAGCAAGATTCTCTTCTCACTTTCTCTCATTTTCTCTCTCTCTCTCTCTCAAAATAAAAAAAGTCTGGAACCACCTGCCTAAGGTCATCCATCTATAAGCCACATTTTACATCAGTTCTAAGCCTGTATAAGATTATTGAAGGAGGCAGCTGGCACTTATAAAACCATCTCCCCAAGACACAAACTGCATTTTGAGCTTTGAGTGCCTTATAATTTAACTTTTTTTTTTGTCTTTTTCATTTTTATTGGTACCAGGGATCAAACTCACGACTGCCTGCTTGCAAGGCAGGCACTTATGCCGCTGAGCTAAATCCAAAGCCCGATAATTTAACTTTTGAAAACTGATTCCTGACAATTCTTCCAAGCTCCTTATGCAAGACACATCTTCAAGGCCGGGGATTTATCTCACTAGGCACAGCACCTGCCTGGCAAGTACAAGGTCCTGAGTTCATTCCTGGTACCAAAAAATAATAAACATAAGTCAGAGCAACCGAGTCATTCAGTGGCTCACTCCCCAGCAGCCTGGGGCCCAGGAGAGCGAGCATTGGCTGGCCTCGGACCTGGCTTTAAACAGGTCCTAGACGGAGCTCTCCCTGCTGTCCCGGAATGACGAGGCGTCCCGGGCAGCGTTTCTTAGTTTCTTACCCTCTCTGTTCCCACGCAGCTGTGTTGCCCAAACAGCGAGTCCCCTGCCAGCCTCAGGAGGCGTGAACTGCACTCGGGGATGTTTCTGCTCAGCTCCCCAACGTGGTAACGGAGCCTCCCACCTCCGGGATGGTCACACTGGGTCACAGCTGCAGTGTAGACCCCAGAGTCACCAGAGAGCAGCGGCAACAGCAGATTCCTGTGAATCCCACTTTAGAAAATCAATGAGAGCAAACTTTACAGAACTGTTTCTAGAAAAAAGACGAGAGGATGAAGGAGGACTTGAGCTCAGCGGGTTTCTGAGCCAGCCGGGCCAGTGGCTGATTCCGTCCCTGGAGACAGCCAGTTAACGTGTTTCTGCAGCTCCTTTCTCTAGCGCTGCTCCCTCCTTTTGGAGGAAGTGTACTTGGGATGTTTTCGGCTCCCTTCACTGCCCATTAGAAACTGGCTCTTTAGGTGTTTTGCCAAGACAGAGGCAGCACAGGCGAGGGCCACTGAGGCTAACAGCCACTGGGGAGCCTTCTGCCCTGCAGTCCTTGGCTAGGCAGAGGTGGCAGCGACAGCTTCTCTAACAGGGGACAGGGACACTGCAGAGGACAGACTGGTCCTTCTTCTCAGCCTCTTCCTTCTCCTGGAGATGGAGGACTTGGGCTTCTCTCTCTTTTAAGAGGAAAGAAAGTGGAGCCCAGCAGAGGGGGTGTCCCGGCCAGTGCCTAGCTGGGGAACACAACCCACAGAACCAAAGTGAGGACAGAGAGAGAGAGGACAGCAGGCCAGTGACACCAAAGCAACAGGGGCCAGGAAAGGAGGCCAGGAAGGAAGCCAGAAGGAAGGAGCTGGGCCCAAGAAAACCAGAGGTGACCACAAGCGTTCTAGAGGGGACCAGGCTGGGGTAAAGCTGGGAGCCGCCTCGCTGTGGGGGGATGGAACTTGCAGTGTGCTTTCGTTGAGTCAGAACCGCAGCTCACTGGGTGCATTTGTGGGGAACTAATCTGAGCAAGGCTTTGGCCTCGGTAGTTTGAGCGTTAGGCATTTAAGTGCAGTCCGATTGGTCAGCTGACTCTGCCTCCCTGCGTAAAGTGAGATGGAAACTATAAATTCCTGGTACAGGCTGGCTGTTAGGGTTAACCCCAGCCCCATTGCCCATTACCTTCCTATTACACAAGCACCACCTGCACCCCCTGGACAGCTCAGACTTGTCCTGTGTCCCCCAGTGCCAGTGGCATCTTTACCTTTCCAGAGCAAACAGAGCCACTTGTCCTGTCCTGCCCCCGGGAGGGGAGTCAGGAATCCATCTCAGGCACGGCTGGGCCCTGAAGGATGTGGAGGCTGGGGAGTGGGGCAGAGATTACACAAGACCTTTGGGACAGACCCTTGGTCCTTCACATCCCCGTCTCATGGAATCTATGCAGCTCCACGCACACCGCGCCTCCCAGCAGATGCCACAGTATTTGGTCCCTGGTCACTCTCTCCTGCTGTCCCTGCTCTGCCGTCACCCACGCAAGGGGACATGGGTCTCCACTGCCCTTGGAATCCCCCCAGTATTGTCCTCCTAGTCTCAGAGCCAGACTGTCGGGGTGTAAGACATCCCAAGGTGCTGGGTCCGGTCACGTATCAGCTGACGCACGATGCCCTGGTCCGGGACTTCCAGATGTGATAACACACCTGGCCTCCAGGCAGCCAGAGCCATCCACAGCCTCCCGGCAGGGGTCCCAGGAAACTGCTGGCACTGAGAACCCTGGAGGTCTCCGAGATCAGGACTCCCGGCTTCTTCCCATGCACGCCTGCTTTCTGTGGGTCGCTGCCTCCACTGTGGAGCCCAGTGCACTGAGCCACGTTTTGGGCCATGTGTGCACACGTGGGCCGTCACCAAAGGTCAGGATGCCAGGGACATCAGACACAAAGTATGCGTCTCTCTCCAGTGTGACAGCCAGGCTGGAGGTTTTATTTTATTATTTTTTTCCCTTTGGTACCAGGAATCAATCTGACTTTGCCAGACTACGTATTTTAGAGCCCAGTTTCAATCTACCTTTCTCAAATCTAGTATACTAACATGTACACATGCACCTGGACATCACTGCAGGCAGAGGCACACAGACCTGTACATATTCCTCAAGTGAAAGCACACAGACCAAAGCACATGTCTGGCTGTGCGCCCAGAACAAGGGACATCCATGCGGATCAGTGTGTTTCACTTAAAATGAGCCTGACAGCACAGTGACGTTACACTTACTTTTACAACTCAAATTCAATGAGAAAAACTTAAGGCTGAGTATGATATTCTTCAGATATTTTTTGCTTAAAATGCAATGAATAAGCTGGGCATCGTGGTGCACGCCTGTCATCCCAGCACTTGGGAGGCTGAGGCAGGGTCACTGTGAGTTCGAGGCCATCCTGAACCTCGAAGTGAGTTTGAGGTCAGCCTCCTGAACTACAAGGTGAGAACCTGTCTTTAAATAAAGAAATAAAATAAAACACATGAATGAATATACTCCAATAGCTGGTGTCCAAAGGAACAAAGAAAATAATTGGCGTCAAGTTTATGGATGTGGGACATATCTATTCATATTCATTCATGTTTTAAAGCATCTACTATCTTTCTAAGGGTGTTTTTTTGGTTTGGTTTGGTTTGGTTTTTTTTTTTTTTTTTTTTTTTTTTGGTACTGGGGATTGAACTCACCACCTCATGCTCACCGGGGGGCAGGCACATGTGCAGGAACTGTCTCCCCAGCTCCTCTAAGGGTGATTTTTAACAGGAGATCCTCACACTATGCTCTCCTGGCACCAGAAAGAGCTATCAGACCCACGATACAAAGCGTCCAGCTCAGTGACTGACCTAGGAGAAGCACTGTCCATGTTAGCAGTTGCAGTCTCCTGGGGTTTTTGTTTTTGTTTTTTTGGTTTTATTTTTGGTCTTTTTGAGACAAGGTCTCACTATGCCGTTCACATTGACCTTGAGCTCACTTTGAGACCAGGCTGGTCTCAAACTCATAACAATCCTCCTGCCTCAGCCTCCCAAATGCTGGGAGTACAGGCATGTCCTGGCTTTCAGTAGCATTTTATAAGAGGAATCTAAGTGCAAGCCAATGAAGACCTGGTTTTATCCTGTGTCACTGCAAAGCTATGCAACCCTGGACAGATGACTTAAACCTCCCGCCTGAAATCAGACCACAGCTGACCCTGCAGAAGCGGGTTAATGAGGTACCGTGTATCAAAGACCCAGTCTAGCGTGCGGGACTCACTCAATCTCTGTCCTTTCCCATCCCATTTACACTCCACATTCACACGTGTGTGAGTGTACAGGGGTTTGAGCAAGTGTGTGTATGTGCACGTCTGTCTGTGTCACCAGTAACCGCTGGCTGTCTGCCCGTGCAGGTCAGAAGGAAGCCTCGGTGGGGAAGAAGCAGCCCTGGATGGCACCGTGCCTGCACTCTCAGCTCAGCCTGGTGGCGCACAGGAGAGACGCCATGGCCCACCGGGTGCTCTCGGCACGGATGCACAAGATTAAAGAGCTGAAAAATGAGCTGGCGGACATCCACCGCAAACTAGAAGCCATCATCCTCGAAAACCAGTTTCTGAAACAGCTGCAGTTTAGACACCTGAAGGCCATAGGGAAGTACGAGAACTCGCAAAGCAATTTGCCGCAGATCATGATTAAGCATCAGAATGAAGTGAAAAACCTGCGGCAGCTGCTCAGGAAATCCCAGGAGAAGGAAAGAACGGTCTCTAGGAAGCTCAGGGAGACTGACGGTGAACTGCTGAAGACCAAGGATGCCCTGCAGGTGCTGCAGAAGCTCTCGGAAGACAAAAACCTCGCAGAGAGGGAAGAACTGACCCACAAACTGTCCGCACTGATGGCGAAAATGGAGGCGAATGACAAGAAGATACAGGTGTGTATCCAGGGCACAGACACACTGAGGGTCCGCTAGACACTGTGGAGGACACGCAATAGGGCCCCCCACACCCTGTAACACAGCATGGTGAAGCCCTCGGCTGGGCGCAGCATCTTTGCTGTCCCCGCTGATTAAAACAGGAGCACACACCCTGGTTTTCATCACCCCTTGTGTGAGGGGGCAATCCTCTGGGCCAAGCTTTCTGTCTAAGTCCAGAGCCGACCGTTCACTGCAAGGCAGGTGAGTGGCATCAGGCAGTGTCTGGGCTGGGATGACTACCCCACAGTCCCTTGGCAAGGTCAGCAGGGCGGCCCCTCACGACTCTCAGTGTCCGTTCCAGGGGAGCCCTGGCCACCAGGGTCCGCACTGGTGCTTGAGAACCTGCAGAGAGAGGGCAGTTCACAGGGCAGAACCACCAAGCTTTCGGTTCAACTGTGACATTGATTGATTTTATTTTTCTTTCTGAGACAGGGTTTCACTGTGCATTTCAGGCTGGTCTCGAGCTCACTTTGTAGCCCAGGTTGGTCTTGAACTTGCAAGGATCCTCCTGCCTCAGCCTCCCGAGTACTAGAATGACAGACATGTGCCACCATGCCTGGCTACTTATCTATCTTAAGGATGGTGTTCAAAGACATTTTGGGTTTTTAGGGGGGTTTTTTGTTTTTATCAAATTTCAGAGAATGTAAAAACAAAGTAAAAAAACGTATCCTGTAGATGAACCATTCTCTAACACTGCACCGCAGTTCTGCCCTTCTCCAAGATCCGCTCTGCCCCGCGAGGCTGTGCCCCTGTGGCCTGGGGCCAACCAGCCACCCTGACTCTGGCTCCTGTTTGCAGAGCCTGGAGAGGCAGCTGAGGCTCAACGCGCGCACCTTCACCCGGCAGCTGGCGGCCGAGAACCGCAAGACGCAGGCAGCTCAGATGGCCACGAATACCCTGCAAGTGGAGGTCAGGCGCCTGCAGCAGAAACTCAAGGTACTTTGAAAGCCACATGTGAGCCGGTAGTGCTGGCCCAGCCCGGGACAGCAGCACATGGGTGTGGCCGGGTCCGCGGCTATCTCCCTGGGAGCATGCGCAGAGAGAGGGACCGTGGCCCTTGGGAGAGGACCACGCACCATACCCCAGAAAAATTAAAGCTCTCTTCGTCCATGAGGCTTCTTGGTATCATTTTTATTTCATCACGCTAACGTGATGCGTTGTTCAGATTTTAATGTAATTCTAAATATGATTTTACACAAAAAACTAACATATTGTAATGTCAAGGGCAAATTTTAGCATATGTGCTGCCGAAGGGAGGATAAGGGCAAATTTTAATGGCCCCCAATTTAAAGTCTCACGACGAATAGGTTTTCAGAGTTACCTTTTAAGCAAGGTGCGGTGGCACCCACCTGTCACCCCAGCACTGAGGAGGCAGAGACATGAGGGTTGCCCTGAAGCCAGCCTGGGTTACATGGTGAGAGTCTGTCTCAGAAAGAAAACTTTTCTAAAATTTCCAACACTTTGGGAAGGCTGTCTATGACAAGTGAGAAACGAGCACTTTCAAATCTCAACTAATAAATCTTCAGCTTGATTCTTGAGACAAAAAATTCCAACTTTTCTGGGATGAGCAGGGAACTTGGTTTCCAGGGAGTCTCGGGATCAGACCGCTGCGGTCCGGGGCAGGGAGGACCGGGAGGCAGATGGAAACCCTCCCTAGAGTTTCAGGAAACCGAGAAGAAATGTGCCAGAAAGTTAGCATGGCAACACAAGCAGCTTAGAAGTCTGAGAGGAGAGAGGGTCTGAGATCCAAGGGCCAAGATACAGGAGACACAGTCAGGAAATTTTAAAACGCTTCTGTTTCCTTAGCCCTGTAAATAGCCCTGTGTGCAGAGCTAAATATGCTAAAAACAGATTTCTGCCAGCAGATATGCTTAATACCCAGTGTCATTCCTAAAGATACAAAATTCTGTATCTACTAAGATTTCAGTTTAGCCACAAAGATAACAAGATTGCAGAAATAGGTGTTTTAAAAATTGTGGGAGGCTGGAATGACGGCACTGCCTGGTCTCACTGTGAGAGACCCTGGGTTCTGCCCCAGCACTCCCAGCAATCAGAAATCCCTCAAAACTGACTTTGTAAAAAGAAAGGTGAATGAGCTTCTATAGCGTGCATTCCTGTGCTTCCAGAAAGAGAGACAGGGCAGCCAAGGCGCAGCGCAGTGCCTGGCCTGTGGGAGAGGCCGGGTTTGAAAGCCCTGCACCAAAAACACAAGCCAAATAAGAATGAGGAACCTTCATGAACCGTATAGAATCGTCTCAGGCTGTGCTGGTGAGAACAGGGAGGGGAGAGAAGTGCGCTGCCATCTAGGAAGGGGGTAGCAATACAAATTACCCAACTTACATTTTTAAAAATCAAGACAGCCACAGAAAAGGGGGAAATAAGGTAAGAGGGACAGTCCCAGAACCTAGATTTCTTAAGTCTCTTCTTGCTTGATGTGACTTTGAAGTCAATAATTATAAGGCAGAGCTAAATGTAAAGAACTGAAAGGCTGTACCAAAAATCCCAAGTAAAGAAACCCACAGACTCAACTACGTATTCAGCTGGTGGTGTAATGTCAAAGAAACTGTTCCAAGCTGGGCCTAGTGGCCCACACCGTAATCTCAGCACTCATGAGGCTGAGGCAGGAGGACTGTTTTGAGTTTGAGACCAGCCTGGACTACAAAGTGAACTCAAGGCCAGCCTGAACTGCACAGTGAGACCCTGTCTCAAAAGACAAAAAAAGAAAGAAACCATTCCAAGTGACTGAAAACACATTATCATCTATGTCAGTGACATACAAGGCCAGGACAAAAATATCTTCACATATGCACATACAACCTTAAACTATCGTTAGTTTACTGCTTTTGGTGGTGGTAGTCGGGATACTATTATTTTAACACTGATATGTGCGTATGTACCATATAACACGGTGAATAATGTTAGTCATTGAGAACTGGGACTTAGGAGATAGAAGAAAGAAAATACAGAAGTAAATAAAAATTCTATAATCCCAATTTTGATTCGAAGCAAAAGTATGAATTCACGATTTTTTTTGTCACAGACTGCAACTTATGCACCAGGTCTGAGAGTTCACAGTGACACTTAATAAACAAAACGCATCAGTGATTCCCCCTTTGGGGGGCTCCGGCACACCACTGGGGGAACAGTACGCTATTTTGAAAACTTACAGAGAAATAAACAGACACGTATTTTTACTTTTTCTGTGTGAAGCTTTCTCTAGACTCACCATATTGTACAAGAAGTTCTAGCCTCCTTGTGAAAGCGCTCCAGCTGATGAGGAGGAATGACTCAGCTCACTATTTTAGGGTGCCTGATGAATTCCGCGCTCCAGTCAATGGTCCTAAGATGCTAGCAACCCCACAAAACAGCAAGCAAGAGGTGGCCCTTCCCAAGGGCTCTGCACACCTCCCCCTTGGAGTTCCATGCCAAAGCAGCCTAACTCTGGCTGTGCCCCGCGCCTAACAGCTGATTTATCAGAGCATGGACAGACAGAGCAGGGACAGAAGGGGCGGGGGATGACCACACTGTGGGAACGCAGTCAGCCGCAGCAGAGGGAGGGGGACTCCACAAGGCTAAGAGCAGGCTCTACCACAAACAGCAAAGTGGGGAAGAATAGATGGTGTGGGAACCTACAGTTAAACAATACTGAGAAATTTCTGCACGCATCACAATGGTTTGGATCTCATTCGGGTCCCAGTTCAAACCAGCTTTAAAAATATTGTAGGAGGGGCTGGGGGTTTAGCTCAGCGGCATAAGCACCTGCCTTGCAAGCAGGCGGTCGTGAGTTCGATCCCTGGTACCGATAAAAATGAAAAAGACAAAAAAAAAAAAATTAAAAAAATATTGTAGGACACTTGGGGAAAAAAGTTGAAACAAACTGGGTACTTGATGGCATCTAGGTTTATTACTGATCTGAGGGAGCAGAATGATGACATTGTGGTTAGATTTGAAAAGGCTCAGCTGCTCATACTGAAATACACAAGTGCAGTAGATTACGCTGTGATACCTGGATCCGCTGGACTAATCCAGGGTGGAGAGGACCAGGGGGCTGGGTGTGCGGAGGGAAACAGTAGGGTCGTGAGCAGCTCATCAGCCGAGCCACCACATGGGCTCACGGTTACCCTCATATGCTCTCTAACTTTTTACACTTCTTATATTTCCATTTTCAAAAGGAAAAAAGTCAGAAAATTATATATTTTATGTATTCAAGAAAAAGTAGAAATAGATTTAAAAATAAAAAGGCTGGGCTGAAGCTAGGCACAGTGGCAAACACCTGTAATTCTAGCGCTCTGGGAGGCTGCGGCAGGAAGATTGCAAATTGGTGCCCAGCCTGTGCAACTTACTGCCTTAGCAAGAACTCATCTCAAAATAAAAAATAAACAAGAGCCGGGCGTGGTGGCTCACGCCTGTAATCCCAGCACTCAGGAGACTGAGGCAGGTGGATTGTTGGGAGTTTAAGATCAACTTGGGCTGCAAAGTGAGCTCAAGGCCAGCCTGAATTGCATAGTGAGACACTGTCTCAAAAAGACAGACCAAAACAATAGAAAAAACGAGAGAGAGAGAGAAAAGAAGAAGAAGAAGAAGAAGAAGAAGTCCAGTCTCTGTCCCCACCCATCATACGTGACCACCACCAGAGTGAGAGAAAAGAAAAGCCTGGGCGTGGTGCTCAGGCCAGTGATCCCAGCACTCTGGGAGGCTGAGGCAGGAGGATGGCAGGTTCCAGTCCAGTCTGGACAACTGACAGAGAGAACGTCTCAAAAAAAATAAAAACACTTTTTAAGGACTGGGACTACAGATAGTACAAAGCTGCTGGGCTCCATTCCTAGTACTGGAGGTGGGGAGAGGGTGAAGAAAGAGGGACAAAGGGAAGGGGAAAGGGGAGAAGGGAGAGGGGGAAGACAGACAAATGGCTGATCCAGTTTAATATCCCGGGAAAGAAGATCCGTGTCCACAAACTATGTTGCTCTAAAAATGGAAGAATGGAAAGCCGTGGAATGAGCCTGACTGCCGTGTAGGAGGCAGCACAGAGCTAGACGATGACCCGGGACCACGGCAGTGGGCCTGCGGCACGAGCACCACAGGGGCTGTTCTGTCGTCGGGAGCTCTAACAGGTTCCCCTCGCTGAGCCAGGATACTGAGAAAACCTCCCTGAACAAAGAGATGAGCATGAGACCCAACAGACTACATTAGGCAGTAACAGCCAGATCTTGGAAACCGCCCACCCCCCGCAACCTGGTGAACGGTAAAGAGATGGCTTTTTAAATGTGCTGTACCACTCTGCCGTAGAGGAGGATGGGCTTGCAATATTTCTAGGTAAATGGGTGCCCCTCGAAACTATACTCTGAGGTGAAATAAATCGGACGTGAACGTGTAAATACCCCTTTTGTTTTTCTAGTGTCAGAAATCATAAGTGCACATAAGGACCATGGGGTATAATAGATACTGTGAAATAGGAAGAAAACGTTCAGATGGGGAGGGGAACAAGGGAGAAGGAAAGGAAAGAAGGGGAAAGTTTACAAAAGGAAAATATGGAAGTGTTTCCTGAATGGGGAGAAGATGCAGTTGAGGGAGGGAGAGGAATGGGGAGAAAAGGACAGAAGTTCCATCACGTACAAGTATAAGTTCTCTACATGAATGAGACCTCATGTGTACCTACAGTGTACCAATAAAATCTGATTTAAAAGAAGAAAAAGAGACTAAGTTGCCCAAAATGACTTAAGACAATCACTTTGGCCATTTCTCATGACTTGGTCATTTCCCATGCCTGTCACCTGCTGCTCCCCGGTGTCCAGGACAAACCCCACCTCGGTCTGGTGTGCCTGCCCTCCTTCTGTGCACAGCCCTGGCAGAGACCCTGTGGGGAGGGACAGGACTCCCACAGCTGTGTCAGAACCTGGGCCGTACCGCCATGCGCTCCATTACACGTGACTCTCAAATTTAAGTAACTAAAGAACCGACATCAATTCTGTTTGTGAATTTACAATCTAGGCAGGGCTTGCTGAGGACCGCCCAGCGGGGTGCTCACAGGCTGGAAGCCGGAGTTATCTGGTGTCCCACTCCATCTGCAGCAAGAGCTGAGGGCGTAGCTGGATCTCTGGCAGGAAGCCTACCATTGAATCTCTGTGAGGTGTGAGCACCCTCACAGCTCCATCGCTGGGTTTCCAGGGCCAGAATGAAGGGGATGTGGAGGTGGAGACAGAGTCAGACAGAGAGCAGCAAGTGCCAGGCAGGAAGAAGTCACAGTGCCCTTTATGACCTCACGGTGCTGCCACCCAGCATTGTCTCTGTCTCATTACATGGGCCAAGGCAGTCCAGAGAGTAAAACACGGGTGGAAGTAGAGAAAGAAGTGGAAATGAAGGTGGAGGTGGGAGTGGAGATAGAGGTGGAGATGAAGGTGCAGGCAGAGATAGGCAGAGACGGAGGCGGAGATGGAGGCGGAGGTGGAGGGTAGTGCTGGGTGTGGAGGGCCCACTGGAGGATTGTTGCCAGCAGCATCTGAAGGAGAACTGGAGGGGAACAGGGTGTGCTGTTGATTCCCCTGGGGGAGCTTCTCACCCTGGCTTTCCTGATATGAACTCGGCTGTGATCACTGGAGGAGCTCAGGTCCTGACCATTGCTGAGCATCGTTCTCTGGTGGAGCCCTGGTCCTTACCTTGAGCATCACTTCCTGGCTCCGGTGCAGCTCCCTCCGCTGCTGGCACAGCTCCTTCACCCTGCTGGTGTAGATTTTCTAGCTTCCACCAGTGACCTTAAGGCCTTCCCAGCACAGATCCCATGAAACAGACTTGCATGAAACACTGCCATGGGCTCCAAGCCTAAAGGTGGACTGATGCAGGACGTGGCCATGGGACCCAGGCACTCGGCTGAATTCTTTGGGTCTCGGTGTGTGGGGCAATCTCCTGCACTCTTGTATTTGACCCTTTGGGTGACTATTATAAGATAATCCTATAAATCATGCACCCTGTATTAAAATGTTTTGCTTGTAAATCCTGACCACAACAGATGGAGGTGGAAATGGAGAGGAAGGTACAGGAGGAGATGGAGATGGGAGATAGAAATAGAGACTGAGACAAAAGCCAGCACCAGGCGGAAAGCAGCCCCACGGCTCTTTGTGATCTCACCCTAGCTGTCACACAGCATCCTCTCTGCCCATTGCACGGGCCTGGGCAGTCCAGGACATAGATGTCACCTCCCGAGGTGGGGTCCCAAGGTGCTGGAGGAAAAACAGCATTGCAGCAGCTTCAGGAAACAACGGTGGGCCACGCTAACGGCCGCCGTTACCGTCTGGGCGCAAGCTCCTTACCAAAGTCGCTGCAGGCCCATTTCCAAGGAAATGGGTTACAATAAGAAGACCCAGGCCACCGGCCTCCTGCAGCTCCCGGATGAGGTGGTGCAGCCTTGCTAATGGGGTGTCTCCCAGGAATTTTCTCTTGGGGGGGTGCTGGGGATTGAACTCAAGGCTTGTGCACTGAGCCACATCCCCAGCTGGCTTTTTACTCTTCACTGTGAGAGAAGGTCTCACTAAATTGCCCAGCGTAGGTTCCACCTTGCCGTCCTCCTGCCTCAGCCTCCCAGAGTACTGGGACTGCAGTGGGAACCATGACCTAAGTGCAGCCATTGTCTTCAGTAGAGCTGCAGGTGTTCTGTCCTCTGCCACTGAACTCAGCTGAGTCAGGAGTCGTCATCAACCTGAAACCTCTGTGACAGTGCTGAAAACAACTTTGCTGTGTGCAGCTATGCTCACTTACCCCATTCCTGCGACTTCTGTTTGCCACCTTGTAAAGGAGACAAGCTCTCTAGAATCCACGCCTCTGACCGGAGAGTACTCCTCTGGGGTCCACTGGTATGCATAAAATTTCCTTTCTCCTGAGCTCCTGGGTTCGGCTGACCCAGTTCTTCCCGCAACAGTTCCTCAGGTGTGTGCCACTGTGCCTCGCTGGACTGTGACTGGACTCACTTTGAGCTCAGGAGCAGCTTTCCTGAGGGCTTCTCATGGGGATTCCATGAACCTTCAGGCTACACAGTGGCTTCCTCATTCCCGTGATTAGTTGGTGGATCGCAGCCACACAAGGGTCCTGCAGGGTTTGGGCCCAGCTCTGCAATGTGGGTGCCCGCTTCGACCTCAGCAGGCAGCCTGCTTCCCCTCGCTGCCCCCGACCTGCAGCTGCCCGACCCACAGCATCCAGATGGAACTGGACTTCCCAGAAAATCAAAATCCCTCCCCCGCCAAAAAACACTGAAATCTCTGTTTCTTAAGCAATGTGAGAGAAAAAACACTCATTATAGTTATATACGCTCCCCCTCCTCTTCAACCTCACACAGGGCACGTGGCCGGCAGCCGGAGCATCTCTGGTCCCCAGGCTAAGTGACCACAATGAGGAAGGACAATGGGGCAGGTGGAACCTACCACTACTGATTCTGGAATCATAAATTCTAGAGAAGATTCCTGTTCTCGTGTTGTGTGCAGTTGTAGAGTGGCCAGAAACTAACTTTACTAACTTTACAATTAAGACGAGAACAGACCTGCACTGTCCGGCTGAGGTCACAGACAGACGTCACATTCTCTGTCCTCTATGACCGCGCTTGGCTTCCCCAAAGCCCCATTCCCAGGAAGACACAGATTCTGTCCTGGTCCACTCTAGTCCAAGGCCGCCCTGGAGGTGTCGTCACCCCGTCTCCCTGCGCGTCTGTCCCCCGCTCCCCTCCACACACCCTTCTCCCCACCGGTGGCCGGTGCCCGTCACATCCCGCGCCGTCTGGTGTGAACCAGCCAGTGGCACTTGGTGGCCTCCTGCCACACCATGGGCCTCTTCCCTCAGCAGCTCATATCATCCGTGGCCACTCTGGTGAGGGCACAGAGCAGGACAGGACAGAGAGAAGGCTGTGAAAAGAGCTGGCATGCAGAGCCTTGTTCCCATTGCCAAGATGCATCACTCTGTCAAAGCCAACACTGTTCGGTGTCTGGAAAGAGGCACAGGGACAAGGCACACTGCTTCTGTTCCTTCTGGGACCTGCAGATCGCATAGACTGAGCTGGCTTAAATTATTTTCTGAAAGAAATCAGGGTGAATAAAAGTAAATATTAATAGAAAAATCAATCTCATTATTCTTTTTTAGGAAAAGGAGCGTGAGCTTGAAATAAAAAACATCTATACTAATCGAATACTGAGAAATATACGGGAACTAGAAGATTACCCAAAAGGTATGTTTTTACTCCTTTTGCTCAAAATCTATTTTTAAGTACCCAGTCATATTTGCTTAATGTATATAGCCAAAGTAATGGATATTTTATTTTATTTTGGGTTTTTGAGACAGGTTTTCACTATGTAGCTCAGGATGGTCTTGGACTATGTTGCTCAGGATGGCCCCAAACTTGAGGCAATCCTCCTGCCTCAGCCTCCTGGGTGCCACAATACCCAGTCAATGATGAGCTTTTTTTTTTTTTTTTTTTGGTCTTTTTCCTTTTTATCGGTACCAGGAATCGAACTCACAACTGCCTGCTTGCAAGGCAGGTGCTTATGCCACTGAGCTAAATCCCCAGCCCCAATGATGGGCTTTTTAAAAAACATTTTATTAGGCACTGAAAGGCATTATGTGATCTTAGAAAGATGATGCAATGGTGAAATTGCTGAAAGACCTGCAAAGGAATGAAAATGCTTTCCTGTTTTCCCATTTGGTTCTGTCTTTAAAGTCCTTACAACAGGTAGAAAGCCAGGATGACTTTTCAGCTGGAAGCAAAATATCTATCAAAAATTATATCTGCTAGGGGCTGGGGATTTAGCTCAGCGGCATAAGCGCCTGCCTTGCAAGCAGGCAGTCGTGAGTTCGATCCCTGGTACTGATAAAAAACAAAAAAGACAAAAAAAATTGTATCTGCTATCAGGGCACAGCTTTTGAAAAGACTTTTTCTAGATATACTTTACCCTAACAAGATGCCCATGAGCCAGGCATGGTGATACATGCCTGTCACTCCAGCATTTGGGAGGCTGAGGCAGGAGGACTGTTGAGAGTTCAAGGCCAGCCCAGGCTACAGAGTGAGTCCCAGACCATCGTGAACTACACAGTGAGACCTTGCCTCAAAAACAAAACAAAATCCACTGTAGCTTTTCAATTCAGTGGGGTTTTGACATTGCTTATACCTACGTGACTGCCAGCGCTTTGAAGCCACATTACCCCAGAGAGGTCCTCATGCCCAGACCGGCTGGACTCCCCACCCCTGGCTTGCACACTGTAAGCAGCCCTCGTGATGCCCCCACGGCTCATCTGCAGCTCCACAGACCGCCTGCAGGGGGCAACATCCTTGCCCTCCCACAGCAGTTCCACTGTATCCCAGCTCCCCAGTCTACTCCGCTAGGGGTGCCCGTAGCTGTTGTGACCCAAAGTAAGATGCAGCAAGGAAGATAGCAGGAAGAAGAAATGCAAGGAAACCAACAAATGTTATATGTATATTGAATATTAAGAAAATAGTATATTTTATTACTTTGCATACTTCAGCAATATTTTGTTTAAAATCCATATTGCTTCCAAATGTAAAATATGATTCTCACATGCAATCTACTTACTTGGCAGTTTCTTCAACAAAATCAGTACAAGCAGACAGGAAAAGCTTGTTACTTATAAACGTGAGACACCAGGAAACCCAGAAGTCAGAAGATGTGCCATCCTTGACAACTAAGGTACAGAAACGTGAGGTCTTTATAGTAACCCAGCTAAGGCAGGGATTTAGCTCAGTGGCATAAGCACCTGCCTGGAAACCCAAGCTAAAACCCAGCAGGGATTTAGCTCAGTGGCATAAGCACCTGCCTGGAAAGCTTGAGGTTGTGAGTTTGATCCCCAGTACCAAAAATAAATAAATAAATAAATAAATAATATTTTAAAGCCAAGCAGGGTGGCTCATGCCTGTAATCCCAGCATTTGGGAGGCTGAGACAAGAGAATCATTGCAAGTTTGAGGCCAGCCTGGACTACAAAGTGAGCTCAGGGCCAGTTCGAGCTGCATAGTAAGAACCTATCTCAAAAAAAAAAAAAAAAAAAAGCTATAGACCATCACCTATTTGACACACAGTGTTTGTGTTCATTAGACTAAAATACAAGCTACAATTTGTGCTGCTTTTCTAAATTGTAGGGTAAAAAGATAACAAGAAACATTCATCCTAAAGAGAAATCAACTGAAATAAACCTTGAAATTCCACACTGTGTCAGTAACCTACCAAAGCAAGAAGATTCCAAGAGAAAATTCAAAGGTAATCATAGCAGTCTTAAACATCTCCAGGGGGCAGGGAAAACAGCTCAGCGGGCCAGAGCTCACCTAGCACATGTGAGGCCCCGCATTTGGTTATTCTCAAACTCTGAAAAATGTCTCCTGCCTTCTTAGTTGATTTTTTAAAATTGTGAATTAGTATACATGTGCATAAAATCACACTTAAAGCTGGGCATGGTGTGCCATGCCTGTAATCCCAACACTCGGGAAGCTCAGGCAGGAGGATCTCCTTGAGTTCAAGGCCAGCCTGAGCTACACAGCAAGACCCAGTCTCTAAAACAAAGCAACAACAACAAAATCATATGCAGTTGATAGAATCACAGTAAAGGAGCACCAAGGTGGCCGTGGTGGCACACACCTGCAATCCCAGCAGTGTGGCGGCAGAGCCGAAAGGGTCCCAAGTTTGAGCCCAGTCTGGGCAACTTACTGATTCAGAGACACCACGAATCAAAATTAACAATTTTAAAAGGCTGGGGATGTAGCTCGATGCAAAGCCCTGGGGGTCTGTCCTCTGGACCAGGAGTAGATGATGACTGATAGGGAAATGAGGCTGGAGAGGTGCCCTGGAAGGCCACATCTGGACCAGGGAGCCTAGGAGAGCTGACATAACAGCCCTTTGGTAGACTTCCCCGAGTGGAAGGCCACTCTGCCTGCCGCAGACTCATGCACCCTGGCGGCCGCCTGCGTTTCCCAGTGGTCACACAGCCTGTATAAGTGTCCACTTTCACTCCGTCCGGGTAATTGACATTGTCTTACAAGCTTACTCATTTGAAATCTTCTTTCTGCACATGCACTGTGTCAGGCACTGCTCTGGCACTGGGAGTCGGCAGAAAACAAGGGTGAATCATTCTGCGCTGGGCAGGCACTGGCCCAGCACAGGGGAGGCCCTGAGCTCAACACTCAGCCACCCCCCTCAAAAAAAAAACCCAGAAAATATCCGGCCCTGGGGTACTTATGAACACCCTCCCCTTCAGTTCACACTACCCACCCCACTCTATACCAATGCCCAGAACTCCCACGGACCGCAAAGGCCACACTTTATTTAACTACTACTGTTGGTTTGTTTGTTTTTTGAGACAGGGTCTCACTATGTGGTCCAGGCTGGCCTTGAACTCACGGTGATCCTCCTGCCTCAGCCTCCCCGGTGCTGGGATTACAGAACCATTACTCCTTTGACAGACACTTAGGTCTCAGTGTTCCACCAAGTGTTCCTAAGCCAGGCTGCAGTACATATCCTTCCACCCACCTCTGTCTTTCCGCAGGCTTGTTCCCAGAGGTGAGGCATGAGCCCAAGTATGTCCACTTGAAATTTCGATGCACCCTATACCACACTGCCACCCAAAAAGCTCCTGCAATTAAAACGCGTCCCCAGTGGGGGCTGGGCAGGGGCCCAAACCTGCCACATCCCCATATTCTCATCAACTCTGGGAATTATCCGCCAAGGAGCGGGGGAAACCCTCGCTGTCTTCCCGGCTCTCTATCCTGCTAGTGAAGCTGAGAACGTATAAGCAACTTGTTGGCAAACTGCACATCTTTGACTATGAATAGCGTTTTCTTTTGGTTTCCAGGCTCCCACGTACTTGGGGTACTGGAGGAACACGCAGCCCACGTACGCAGCCTGCTAGCAGCACACGCTCCTCTGTGTGTGGCGCACGTTTCTCTTTTGGCCTCCGCTGTGATTTTAGCTCGCAGCCTTGCAGGGCACTGAACCGTCCTTTCCTTTAACACAGATTTATCAAAGGAAGACGAACATCTGGACGCGCACGCAGTTCTGGAGGCTGCTGGGAGACAAAAGGAGAAAAAGGAAGACCTAGAAAAGAAAGCCCTTTTGCAGGAGCCCGAGCTGCTCTCCCAGAGAGGGGGGCCCCACGGCGGCCCTCCGGACCTCGCAAGCTCTCTGGACGACAGCGGCACAGCCGGCCAGGAAAGGCCAAGGCGGGGCGTCCCGCAGGGCGACTCGGAGGCCGAGGCGGAGGCGCATGCGGGCTCAGATCGCGATCGCGATGGCGATCGTGGGGCCCCAGGCAGCTCCAAGCCACCCTGCAGGCAGCGGAAGCTGTACGCCTTCACGGAGGCCACGGAGAACCTGCACCACGGTCTCCCCGCGTGCGGCGGCCACGGCCCAGGCCACCATGGCGCACACCGGGCTCCCAGGCCAGAGGCGGGCGGGGGCTACGAACCCTCCTTCGGGAAGTCCGCCCGGACCAAGGCCAAGGACCCCGCCTTCCGGGAGCGCAAGAGCAGCCTGATGGAGGAGCTCTTCGGGGCCGGCTGCGTGCTGAGAGCCGACCGAGCTGCGCCCGGGCCGGCGGAGGGGGGCGCAGACACTGCCCTGAAGAAGGCGCCCCCACCGCAGCCGCCCCCGGGCCGAGCCTCGGCCAGCAACGCCTTTGGGGACTCCAAGGCCACCGTGGGCAGCTCCGCCAGGTCGTCGCCACCCGCGGAAGAAAAGCGAATCGCTTAAATATAACCGATGTCTTAAGGCACCTCGGCCTGCCATCCTGCTTCTTCCGTATGACGCTCGCGTGCAAGAGAGGGTGTGTCAGGGTGTGCGCTGGAATTCATGTTAGACTTTGGAGAGTCCAGTGTCAAAATCCGTTGTATGCTAGCCAGCGATGGCATTTAAATACAAATTTGCAGCATTTTTCTAAAAGCGAGCCACGTGCATTATTTAACGTTTTTTGTAAGACCCATTTCTTAGACGGCTTTGGTTCCGTGGGAACAGTCCAGGGACGTATCTGCAAGTAAAATCGCGCCAGCCAGCCAAACAGCGGGATTAGAACTGCGAAATGCGGAAAGCAGTTTGGAGGGAGAACACAGGATCCAAAGACACTTCGCATAGGAAAAACAAGTGCGATGATTACCAAGCTTCGGTTTATGAACACAGATTTTGAGGCTACTCCTATTCAGCTGCACTGGGCATCTCCTATACTGTCTCTGCCTTTCCTCATGGACACCCTAAGATCTGGTATCTTTGTATGGAGATTTATTGCATGACCCCTCCGTGACAACCTTTTCCCACTTAATCTTGTTTTAAAAAAACATGATGTAGCGTTCACTCGAACTAGCTGCTCAGTCCTAATTGATGTATTTGTACCCTTGGCATATTTTAAATTGGGGCCACAAGCATCTACTTCCAGACTTGCCAAGCCCTACAGCAATGGCCCAGGCTTCCCAGAACGGGTGGTTAGAGACTAAGCTACAGAGGCAGCAGCCTGGCAGGATCCCAAACAGCTCATCCCTAGATACTGCTGCCTCAGTCTCTGCTCTCTCCCTCTCGGCGGCTTTCTTAGACTCAAGCATTAGGGGTTGTGAAGCCCCCTGCCCTTTCCCTGTCCCCGCATGCATCCCTGCACAGGTGGCTCCCTTTCGTCCTTTAGTCTTGCTTTCTGGTTCGATCACCAAAAAGCCACAAAAGCTGCCAGTGGGGCTGCTTTTCTCTGAGACTCTCACAGTGAAGGGTCACTCAGCCCCTGTGGGCCTTCTTGGAAGTTGCACTGGATGTGGACGCAGTAATTGCTCCTCCTCTTCTCTGCCACGGTTGTGAACAGACAGGACATGCTCTACCGAATCTAAAGGTCACGCCAGTGTGTGGTATTAATGTAGTGAAACACATTTTAAAAGGCAGTGAAAGTCAGGATGGGAAGATAATTGCATTTAAAACCAAAGAGGGGATAGACGGGCCCACTGGCATAAACAGGGAGCTCAGGAGTGGGACACACAGAGAAGGAAGAGGGTGCTGGAGGTTCAGAGGCTCGTGAGCTGCCCAAACTCCAGAGAAGTCTGCAAAAACCACTCAAGCGATGTCCTAAGTGACAGTCCGGCATGTGTCCCTGCTTCCTCTAAGACGGTTTTCACATCTTTCTCTCCACCTCCCCAAGTGCTGCTGAGTCACGGCCACCTGGACACGCTTCCTCAGCGGGCTAAAGTCCCAGGGTCATGTGCACCAGGAACAAGCTCTACCTCTGCAGCACCGTTTTCTATTCTGGCTGTCTTCTGTGTTTTCTACAGTGAATGTAATCACTGTAGTGCCTTCCTAATCAAGGGGAAATGATTTTAAAATAAAACACGATCTCCTCAGGTCTGGAGGAAAAAATACGGCGGCTGGCTATAGAACACAGAAGGCCAAAAATGTTGCACCAACTCTGAAAGATGGTTTTTTTTTCAAATTTTTTATTTCTATTAGCCCATTGCAGTACACAGTGAATACACCTGTGGGGAGCTGGTACACATCCATCCACAACAGCGCTTTTACAGCCCCCTTTTCCCTCCCCCACCTATCTCCCTGTTTCCTATTATCTTTTTTTTTTTTTTAAGTAACGGGGCTGGAACTCATGACTTTGCACTTACCGGGCAGGTGCTTACACCACTGAGCTAAATCTCCAGCCCCTCCAATTATCTTTATTTTGCTCTTTAAATTATCTGTACTTTGTGAGGCTGGTAAACTTGGAGCCTGGATACAGCGACAGAGAACAAGATGGTCGGGAAACCGAGTTCAGGTTTTTCTTTTAGGAGCCCATGTTTGCAGTGGACAATGATTACTCTCCTCCTGGGCACTGGGGCATACGCAGGAAACACCTTCATCTTTCCAGGGCCCTTTCCCCTCCCCTTCCTCTGTCCCCGAGTCCACTTCTGCCTTTGCAAAAGATCTCTTACAAAACGTGCTTTTGAGACCTACGGTCAGCAGCCAAAGCACCCAGGGAGGGAGGGAGACTGGCAGAGCTCAGGCTCAGCCACCTAAAGTAGAGGTGCCAATGACTTGCCCCAGCTCGCCCAGCTGCCAGGCTCTTGGGCCTGACAGTGGAGCTGGCTCTCTGCCACAAGTGCCTGACTCAGAGTGATTTGGGCAATTGGTCTCTATAAACGTTTCACCATCGCTGGCCTAAAGGCATTTGGAAGCCAGGGAAAAACGCGCGGGCAGCTGGGACAGGAGGAGGGCCTTTCCCAGGTGATGCAGGAAGGCAGGTCTGTACGGTCTGTGCGGAACCCTGGGGCTTGGGGGCCAAGCCTCCCTTATCCTGTGGGCCGCTTGACGCTGGGACTGAGGTGTAAGGAGTGAAGGGGCCCAGCTGACAGTGCGGGGCAGGAGAAAGGTAGGCCTTCACCGCGCCTCCAGAAACCCCCACAGAGTTTTGAAATTAAACCGAAACACATGCGGCCCACAGCATGGTGCCAAAGAGCCAACGGAATGGATATTCCAACAAAACAGACATGGGACTTGAACATCTACAAGAATTTAAAGAAGAGTTTGAAAACATAAAGTTCTATAATACACTAGCAAGCATTGGACAATTCAGAAGACATGTAGTCATTCAAATTGACTCAACAGGCCAGGCGTGGTGGCCCACGCCAGCAATCCCAGCACTCGGAAGGCTGAAGCAGGAGGATCACTGTGAGTTGCAGGCCAGCCTGGGCTACCCAAGGCCAGCCTGAACTGCGTACTGAGACCCTGTCTCAAAAAGACAAAAACACCCAAAAACAGGATCTGGAAACACTGGCCACCAAAACCTCGAGTACAGGCACTGAGTCAGCATAGAACCTGCAGGCTGCTTGATCATGTGGATGCCCCTTAAATGTCAGCCTGGGGGTTAAGGAACAGAAATCATCATCCCCCACAGACGGCTAGGGCTCTGCTGTTCAAGGGAGTCGCTTCTCAGCCCCCCACCCAAGCTGAGGACAGGCAGGGAAACCAGAGGCCACCAGCCTTGTCCCTCCCGGCAGCAGGAGGGGCCGGGAGAAGCCATCTAGCAACAGCAGGGTCTCAAGGGGCATCCATGTTCCTACAAATGACAAGTGAGAAATCCAAAATACAAATAACTGAAAAGAAATATAAAGCGAAGAGGGGAATGGGGAGGGAGACCGTGGAGACGGCATGGAGCTCTGGGGAAGCCCAAGGGTCAAGATGTGCTGTGCCTGTGGACACCAACTTTCTGGGAGCAGCAGGATTATTGCGGGTCACACATGTACAGCAGTAAAATTAAACATTCAAGAAGAGAAGAAGCTAGGCACCCTGGTATGCATCCAAAGATCATCATCAATTTGTATACGCAAAAGTTTCCCTGGTTAGTGGACTTATGACAAAATTGGTGTGTGCTATGTTAAGTGTAACAGAACTTATATTAAGTATATTTTATATTAAATATTCTTACATAAAACCATCAAATGGCTTTTAAAATATCATTTCACTAAGCATCACGTACATGCACACGTATCTTCAAATACATATCCGCATCTTATAAGACCTCTGTTAGCCCTAAGCATGATGCACTCCACAGGCAGCCAAGTACAGACGCGGCCCCACAACCTCGCTCTTTCTATACCTGTGCATTAGACTTGGGGGAAAAAAGAGAATTATTTTTTTCACGTTTTACTTTTATAATTAAAAAAAAAAAAGAAGCCACCACAGCTTTGCAAATGGGAAGAGGACTGAGATGGAGGAGGAAGGAAAAAGCAGGGAACTGTTTTGCACACACACCAATCCCCTGAGAGGAAAGCAGTCATCAGGTTCTGCAAACAAGGACAACAAAATTTTCAATTTAAAGAAATAGTCAAAAGCCTATCTTAAGAGCACATTAAGTCCAAGCTCATAAACTCATGGAGTATCGTGGAAAAATCCCAAGGCACTGGCAACAGTGGTGACAAGAAAGGTTTAGGAGTCACACTCTTTATTTTATTGATTGATTGATTTTGGTGTTTTAGAAAGGGCATTGTTATGTAGTCCGGGCTGACCCTGAACCCACTCTGTAGCACAGGTGGGTCTCAACTTCCTTCAGATCCTCCTGCCTCAGCCTCCCGAGTGCTGGGATTACAGGCGTGTGCCACCATGCCTGGCCCAAAAGTTACACTGTCTGTACCCCTTTCTGTATCTTTTTAAATCAAGACCATATTTATTATCTACTTTTAAACAAATACAATTTCTTAAAGCCACAGTGATGTGCCACATAAGGGACACTTGTATTTCCCTTGTTACTGACCACTAACGTGTGTGAAAAGCTACACGTCTCTCCCTCTGCTCTGGGGTGTGTCCCCGTTCCTGCTGCTATAACAGGAGGACAGAGGCCACTCAGGGATGCTCTGCCCCAGTGAGCGCCCCAGGGCGTGCACTCCTCTCTTCCTCTGTGGCCACAGCGTCCCCTGGGGACAAGCAAACCCAAGAGGCTGGTGGCTGGGGCCCACTCGAGCACCCACTGGGTGCTCGAGCTCTGAGCCCTGAATGGGCTACCAGAGCTCAGCCTGGCCCCACCCAGCCTACAGGCTTCATTGCAGAACCAGGGATGGCAGCTCTGCTTTGAGGTATGTTCAGGGGAAAGGGTAATGAGCACATTAGGGAGCGCAGAACACAAATAGGATCTTTCCAGCAGCGACCAGCTTGGCTCTGCTGAGCAAAAGCTGGTGAAGTCCTCAGACAGCTCGGCACCTAAGGGGCGGGCAGGAAGATGGAAGATACCCACAGCACCTGCAAATGCACTCGCCGGAAGAAGTGCTCCCGAACGAAGAGCAGCTCTGCAGAAGGAATTTGCCTTCACGGCCCAAACGTGGATGGTTCAGATGAATTTAATCAGACCTCCCACTTCGATTTTCCCTACAGATCGTAAATATTAAATGTTCATAAAATATACTTCATTAGAAACAGCCGAACCGCCTGTGCACAAACGTCATGGCCTCATGAGTGCATCTATAAAACACTGTGATGAGAAACCAACAGCTTCAAATAAGTAAATAACATGGTACAAATGTCTGTCAATAAAATGACAGAAGAGAAAGCACAAATGATGCCGATTAGTGTTATTCTTTTAGCTGTACTACACGAAACTAAAAACAAATTCTCATCAGATTCTAGCACGGTGGTACCGCTGTCCTGATTATTCCCTGGTTCTGGGAGGCACAAGTTCCAAGAAGGAAAAGGACCAAACCAACCGTTCTGGCTGGAAACAGAGCAGGCCAGGAGGCAGCCACAGGAGCAAGCTCCAGCTAGAAGCTCGGACTCCACAAACAACCGTGGGCAAAGCTTGTGCGTGGACAAAGCATCAAGCACTAAACTTAGTAAGTCTTAAAGCAAGGCAAGACTATAGTGGTATTAACATTAGGTTCCTTTCTAAACTGGATTAAAAACAGCAATAAGTCTTTTAGAAAACTCTGATTTTCCAGTTGGCAAGAAGACCAACACAGGACGACGGTACCCATCAGCACACAGACACCACCCAGGGTTTCACACTGACAGAGCCTGGTGTGACACTGCCTGACACACGAGTGTCCTAAACTAGGCCTTCCGGCTCAATGACAGGTGCATAAAATGACAGTTCTCATATGAATCTCACATAAACTGCAAGGACAAAGATACTCAACAGAAAAACCAGCCCGTGTACTTTTGTTTAAAAAAGCGTCAGTGGATCAGAGTTCCAGCCCGAGAGAAACCACGTCTCAGGCCCTGTGCCCGCGTCCCTCTTCCATCTCAACTGAACGGGTGAAGCACGAGAGCCACAACCTTGTTACAGACCAAAATCCAGCAGGTGATCCCAACGCCACCTGAAAAGGAAGAAATGCAGTGTGAGACCCAGAGGGGCTCCTGCCCACCGAGCTGCCTCTACTTCCTCAGCTTACAGGGTCAGAGGTCTCAGTTCTTTCTGAGCAGTGCTGGGCCGGCAAAAGCTAAGTCCGTGGGTAGAGAGCCCTGAGACCTGGACCCCAGGCCTGGCGATGGCCAGAGGGAACCCTGCTCCGAGGCTTCCACAGGGGAGTGGCTGCGCTGCGGGACATACTGCACAACAAACTGTGGGACAATTTATCTTCTTTTCTCAAAAGCCCACTGATGTCCAAGATCGGGACCAGCCCCCCAGCAGGACAGGCCCCAGCAGCAGGGCACAGAGGTGACCCCAACAGGCCGCAAGCTTCTCTAGGTCCCTCTGCGAGGTGGGCTTACAGCACAGCCCACACACAGGTCTTCCGTCCCAGGCTTCTCCCTAAGGCTGCCATGGCCTCCAGGGTATCTTCCAGAACATTCTTACCTGCCACTCTGGTAGGAAAGGCCACCAGGCGGTCTAGTGGCGTTATCCATTTGCTGGGCACCACGGCCACAGGGACAGAATAGTACTTCCAGATGAGCGAGATCATCAGGGCAGCCTGCAAGGACACCTCCGGTGAGCCAAAAGCCACCCACCAGTGGACAGGGGCCTGTCGGGGTCCCCTGAGCGCCTCAGCACACAAGGGCCCCAGGTGTCCGAGTCACTCCCAGGCAGGGACCCCGTACCTCTCCAGGAGGCCAGCACCCTGCCCACAGCACGCTCACCTGCAGGACGTAGAAGGCCACACTGATGACCCACTTTATCTTGGCCAGCTGAGCCGTCCGCGCCTTCACTGTAGGGAAAGACGTGCAGAGACAGCACATCAGCGCCCCAACACAGCAAGGCTGCTTCCTCTTAGAAGAGCCTTCCAGATCACAAACCCAGCCACCACTTGCCCTTAGAGCACAGAAGGGGGCTTTCAAAGTCACCGCCAGCAGATCATCATGTTTAAAAGAGAATCCCACGCAAACAGCGAGCCAGGAAGACCTTTCATTCCGAAACCCTCTAACGTTTCTGGGGGAAATGGAGATTCTTCCTGTGAGGCTTGGGGCACTTCTGAACAGAACTCAATTCCCCATTATTCCCAGCCGGCTCAAGAATGCCCAGGTGAAGTCCAGGCAGACCTGGGCGGGACAAGGTCCCGCTTGTGCCTCATTCGTCACATAGGGTCGGTGCCTTGAACACAATGTGAGGCAAGGCCGCCGCTGGGCACTGTGAAAGAGGAGGCCCTAGATCCTTTCTGGGCCTCCCTGAAAAAAGCGCTGAATGTGACCCAGGCATGGTAGTGCACACCAGTGATCCTGGCACTCAGGACGCTGAGGCAGGAAGATCCCTAGAAGCTTGAGGTCAGCCTGAGCGACACAGAGCTACAGCAGAACACAGCATTTCTCAGGCCAGGCTGGATTACAGCAAGACCTTGTCTCAGAAAACAAAAAGAAAGAAAGGAAAAGTGCTCAGTCTGGGGAAAAAAACAACCAAACCCTGCACTGACAAGCTGGCCCTGAAAAAACCCTAAGCAGATCCCTGGATGTTGTTGCTTCTAGAAAACAGCTCTGGGCTGAGAATATAGCTCAGCCTCACAACACCTGCTCGGCAAGCACAAGGTCTTGAGTTCAATTCCTGGTGCCAAAAACAGGGTCCCCAGGCAAAAAGCAAGAAGCCTTACAGGGCAGGGCCTCTTCCGCACAGCTAAACACCGCAGCCCCCAGGAGCCCCGCAGCAGCACGCAGGTGCCTACCGTGCATCTTGAGCTTGTCAGTCATCTTGTTGATCCTCCTCTCCAGCCGCGCGTACCTGGCAAACTCGTCCATCATGTTGACCGTGGCCAGCTCCTGCTTCATGTCCTGGATCTCGGCTCGCATCTGCGCCTCCTGCTCGGCGTCCTTCTGCAGCACCCGGGACATCTGCCAGGGAGCCAGCCGGATGAGCTGCACGGGGGAGCAGCCCCCATCCCAACCCCGCAGTCTGGGTCCTCACTAGGGAGCACTTACAGCCCCAACGGTGCATGGGGGTTGAGGCCCCCCGCACACCTCGACTGCAGACTCAAACCAGTGGGGTAGGGCCGTTCCAGACACTGAGACCCACCAGCCCCCAGAAGCTCCAGAGCCCAGCCGGTGGTGCATACCCTCCACTGACAAGTCCCGAGGTGGGCCATGCCCTCCGTAAGGGCCGCGGAGAAACATTCTGTGCTCCGTAAGGGCCGCGGAGAAACATTCTGCCCCAAGCACCTGGGGTTAGAGTTTCCTTCTTTGCCATCCTGGCCAGCCCCACCTTGAGACTGGGTGTTCCTTGGGGGGGGGGGACTGCCCACCCCACCGCCCTCCCTCCCTTTTGCCTCCAGGGAGGGCTCTGTACCTCTCTCTTCCCACTCCCTGTGACACCACAAAGCCCAAGATGCCCCTACTATTTGCTTTTTTATTTATTTATTTATTTTGAGACAGGTTCTTGGTATGTAGTTTAGGATGGCCTCGAACTCACAGTGATTCTCCGGCCTCAGCCTCCCATGTGCTGGGATTACAGGCCTGCAACATGCTGTCCCTGGTCTTTGAATTCCACTCCAAGGTACATCTCCCTTCACAGATGCCCATGGATCACCATGGGACAGGTGTGTATCTGTACACCTGGGATAACAAAATGAAACCACTTCCACCAGGGCTCCCGTTCCAGCGACGTGAACCCTGTGCCCTCTGCCCTTCTCCAGTGCCACAGGTCTAGGAGAGATGGGGGGAGCAAGGAAGGGTGCAGGCCACGGGTAAGGAAGGGGCTGCAGCAAATGCTGGAGACCTGGTGAGGGGACCAGAGGGCCACCTGGGTGCACAATGGCAAGGACTTTTAAGGCAGTAATTTCATAGGGTAGAAACTGGACCTTGAGCCAGACACGGTGGTATATGACTGTAAATCCCAACAGTCTGGGAGGCTAAGGCAGGAAGACAGCAAGTTCACGAGCAGCCTGGGTAACCCAGCAACTTAGGGAGACTGTGTCTCAATAATATGAAATTTAAAAAGAAAGAAATTGGACCGCAATAAACCTGACTTTTATTTTCAAAATCAAAAACAGTGGTGGAGGGGCTGGGGATTTAGCTCAGCAGTTTAAGCGCCTGCCTTGCAAGCAGGCAGTCGTGAGTTCGATCCCTGGTACTGATAAAAACCACCAAAAAAAAAAAAAAAAAAAAAAACAGTGGTGGAAGCCTGAGATCCCAGCTGATCAGGGGCTGAAGCAGGAATTCCAGGCCAGCTTGGGCAACACAGCAAGACTGTGTCACAAGCAAATGAGCAAAAGCTCAGGGGTAGAACACTTGCCTATCACGTGCAAGGCCCTGGACTCAACCCCCAGTGCGGCAAATATAAATAAATAAAACTGAAACAAACCAAATAGATGAGATGAAACCCAATGTGGGCACACAGGAAGAATGAAATCAGTAATACAAGAAAACTGCAGGGGCCACTTACGTAATGCAGAAAATACGGGTAAAACATGTTCCTGCAAGGCTGCTATGCAGGACACATGATAACCCCCAGCCCAGGGAGGTGATGCACACCTGTACACTCAGCATCCTGGGAGACTGAGGAAGGAGAGCTGCACATGCAAGCCCAGCACAGCAAACTTAGTGACTTCACAAGACCCTGTTCCAACACTAAAACAAGAAAGGGCTGAGGGTGCCACTCAGTGTGAAGGCCCTGGCTTCAACCCACATTGCCTCCGTTACAGCAAAATGTGTCGGGATTTCCTGCAACCAGCAGCCACGCAGTCAGTTCAACCCAGGCCAGCGGGGCAGCCGCTGGTTCAGCTGGTTTCGGACACAATCTACCTGGAGCTGGTGTCAGACTCCGCAGTCCCAAGAAGCCTCCACTTCTAACACCAGTCACAGCTCCTGGCCTCTGGATTTCTGGCTACAAACTGGTCCCCATGACGTCCTCTCTAGACCATGTGAATTTGCTAAAGCAGCTCTCGGGACCCAGAGAAGCACGTCTGTTCGCTGTGACGGAGAGAAGTAAACGACCAATGAGGTCACACAGGCCAGGTTTGGACCACGCATCTCCTGGTGTGTGGGTAAGACCCCACTGTGCCTCTGCTGAGTCCCCTCCGAGCTCCACTGGCCAGCAGGCCCCCATGCCCTGTCCTCTGGGGCTTCTGAGGAATCTTGGATGCTGCTGCACTGCACTGCACTGCACAGAGAGGGCGTGACCTGCTACAAACAGGTGGACGGAAATTCAGCAAGGCCTGTTTTGGTTTTTTTTTTTGTTTTTTTTTTTTTTTTTTTTTAGCAAGGCCTGTTTCAACCCCTCCTAGACTTGGGGAGCAATCCAGCCCCCAGGCCTGGGCGGGCAAGATCCCCACCCAACACAGTGGTCAGAGAGTTTTCTTGGCACCCACTCCACACAGAAAGGCGGGGCAGGATTATGTTTTCAGAGCCCATGAGCTGCCGTGGGGAAGAAACCTGCAAGTTCCATGGCTTGCCCTGGACAGGAAGGAGCGGGGGAAGGACGGCAGGAAACCAGCGGCCTTGCGCACTCCACTGCTACACACCTCACCTCTCTGAAGCCATCCCAGAAGTGCACCAGCTGCAGCAGGTTAGGAGCAGGAGGCAGCCAAAGTAAAAACACATAAATCATTGCATCACACAGGGCCATAAGCTAGGGGTGCTAGGGAAATGCTAACAAAACTACAAGAGAGAGCACTCTGCGCCCAACAGAATGGCTGTTTATCAAAGGAAAAGAAATAAGTGCTGGCGGGGTGGGAAGCAACTGAACCCCTGTACACTGCGGGCGACCACTGTGCAAAACAGAACTGCAGCTTCTGAAGAAAAACTGACCCAGAATTAGCCTGCAACCCAGCAGTTCTACTCCGACAATATACTCAAAAGAATTGAAAGCAAGAGGGGCTGGGGATTTAGCTCAGTGGCATAAGCACCTGCCTTGCAAGCAGGTGATTGTGAGTTCAATCCGCGGTACCGATAAAAAGTTAAAAAAAAAAAAAAAAAAAGAACTAAAAGCAAGAACTCCTGTCTGCATACCAGGTTCTAGCAATCAGAGCCAAAGAATGGAAACAGCTTAAGCGTTCATCAAGGATGAATGGATAAACAAAATGTGGTTAATACAGACAGAGGAATGTTACACAACCTTTAAAAAGGAAAGAAGGTAAACTACGGCACACACCTATAATTGCACCTACTCAGAAGGCTGAGGCAGGAGTATCTCTCTCTTTTTTTTTTTTTTTTTTTTTTGTCTTTTTTGAGATGGGGTCTCACTATGCAGTTCAGGCTGGCCTTGGGTGCCCAGGCTGGTCTCGAACTCACAATGATCCTCCCACCTCAGCCTCCCGAGTGCTGGGATTATAGACGAGAGCCACCATGCCTGGCTTGAGGCAGGAGTATCTCAAGGCCAATACATACAACTTACGGAGAGCCTGTCCTCAAAACATGGGTGGGTGTGGGGATGAAGCTCAGTAGTAGAGTACTTCTTTCTGGCTTCGACCCCACGGTGGGGGGGGGGGGAATGTGCTAATTTTTGCTACAACAAACCCTAAGACATTATACTAAAAGAACAAAGTATTACTCCACTTGTGGGAGTTTGGTGATTGCAGGGACTGGGGAGAGGAATGGGAATTGTGGAAGGGGTACAGTCTTTTAGGGGGAAGATGAAAAGGTTCTGGGCTGACCATGGGTTGTACAGCAATATACTTATATACTTAACGCCACCAAACTGCACACTTAAAACTGTTAAGATGACTGTTACGGAATTGTTTCTATTTTGATTTGTTTTGTACTGGGAATTGAACTCACAAACCTCTGAGCTTGCGCTGTGCTGCTGATCTGTATCTCCTGCCCTGACTGTTTCGGTTTATATTTAGTAGTCTCCAAAAGCCCCATGTGCTTCTGGTGAGGGCTGCTGGAACCTGATTGACTTATGGGAGCCACACTGACTTCCTCTTAGGGGGCCAGGTATGCCAGGAAGAGGTGTTCACTGAGGGCCTGGCCTGTAAGGGTTCATCTCCCTCCCCACCCATCCCTTCTCTCTCAGCCTCCTGTGCATGGCACTGTGAGCAGCTCTCCTCTGCCAGGCTCCTCTGCCACACTGCCGTGCCCATATGACTAAACCGAGCCGAAGTAAATTTCCTTAAGTTGAAGTGTCAGGGATTTTAGGTTGGTGATGAAGAAAGTTACTAAGCCACCTTTGCACAAAAGAGTCAATGAATACTGGTAGAATACAACACAAAGGCAGCAAAAGTCCTGCCTAGTCTTAAATATGCACCCACACATACACCAGTTTATATTAGGAGGAAAAAAGCAAGACCCGTTCTCCTTCTGAAGTCTTAGTCTGAGCCATACAGCAGCTTACTTCCTCCCTAAAGGGTAGGCTCCTGCCACTCTCCATCCTACCCTGCCCTGTGCAATCTGCCACCCATTCCCTATTTGTGCTCCCATAGGTAAGAGAGCAGAACGGGAAGAATCACAGAGCAATACCCACTCAGCAATCACCAGGTAGACTGACTCGGTGCAGCTACAGAGTTCTGAGCTCGGAAGGGATGATGATGACATCATCTCTGATGACTGTCATTCGGGACACGTGTGAGGCACTCACTGCCAGAGCAGTGCCACTGCTCAAGGCTCCACTGCACAGGGAAAGCACCGCACGCTCTACGTAGATGCTCTCTACCCTGTCTCTCCCCTCTCTACCCACTCATCTAAGAATGGGGGCGCCTGCATCCTGATAGTGATCGCTCCGGGGACCTAGCAACGGTGACAATAGACTCCAGGCCTCCAGGAAGCCGTGCCAAACATTCCTGAGGCCCAGCAAGCGAGCTCAGCTCCCCCAGGCCCGGGTTAACGGGAAGGAAGGAGTGAGGCTGGCGTCCAGGCACCAAGGACGCCGCCAGAGACACGGCCACCGGAATGCCCGGCCAGGTGTCGCCAGGTGTCTTCCAGCCTCGAGAGTACGGAAAGAGGATTTCTCACAGGGTAAGAGTCGTGACTCTCAGGCACTTTGCGTCATCTCAGAAAAATAAAACACAAAGCCTGGCGTGCTGGCGCACGCTTGCAATCAGCACTGGAGAAGCCCAGGCAGGGGGATCCCTGCGGTTTCAGGCCAGCCTGGACTACACAGAGACACTGTCTTTAAAAAAAAAAAACAAAAAAAACAAAAAAAAAACGTAAATTAAAGTTTTTTGTTAAACCCTAACGTACAGCATGGGCCACGCAGGCGCTTCAACAACCGACCCTGGCCCGCAGGCGGCCAGACTGTCCACACCGACCACTACAGCCCCGGGCAGGCCGGGCAGTCACTTACGAAGGAGGAAAAGGACGGGAGGAGGATCCGAAGCACATTGCACCCAAACACAAAGCTCAGCACCAGCAGCCACGCCCAGCGGTCGGCCTCGGCGGCTCCCATCCCAGACACTCCCCGCGGCGCCCGCTCCGCTACGGAAGCTGCGTGGGGACCACGCCGGCGGGACGCCCGCGCGTACGCACTGAGGCTAGCAGGCCTGAGGAGGGAGTGGTACTGCGCCTGCGCACTGCGCCAAAGAGCGGGAAGCGGGTAGCGCGAGGAGGCGAGTAGAGCAGTGCGTGTGTACCAGGTTTACTTTGACCTTCCCGGCTTCCATAGCTCTTGTTATTCTGCGTTCCAAAATCTAGAGGGCTTGATACTGGCCCTCTCTGGTCGTATGTGCGAGCCGCTTGTGCTGTTTTATTAATAGTTTAAATTGACTCACTTTTGTAACTAGATAAATTTATTTTTTCTTTTTTTAAAAACCCATTTTATTTCAAGGATAAAAAGAAAACTTACAACATAATTTCAAAACGCATCAATCAGGGGAGTAAATTTATTTTAAAGTAAGCTTTTCCAGCCTGGCGTGGTGGCACACACCTGTTATTCCAGCACTGAAGAGACTGAAGCAGGAGGATACATTGAGTTCAAGACCAGGCTGGCTGCATAGCGAAACTGTCTCAAAAAAGACAATAAAGTAAAATAAGCATTTCCTTATATAGAGAACATTACAGTAGCAAGTAAAATATTTTCTAAGTAGTTATTATATATAAAACTGTCTTACACTTACACTTAAAAACTAAACAGTAAATATAAACAACATAAAATTACATTCCTGAAGAAAATGTTCAAATGGGAAGTGGAACTAGCGAGGGCATGGGAAAAGGAAGGAGAAAAAAAAAATAAACGCGAAAAAAGACGTTACACTCCTGAAAAATAAGTTTATAAGAAGACACTGTTAGAGGTTGGGGATGTAGCTCAGTGATATAGGTTTGCCCAGCATGCATAAGATCCGGAAAAAGAAAAAAAATTTTTTTTAAACCTTTACAATTAGCCCATAGTATAAATTTAGATGAAGATTAAGTTTTACAGCAAAAGAATCTCGATTTATAGACAGCGAATAAATTAAAAGATGTCTTTTCTACTAAGATTGAAGTTCAAGAACTAATTTCTAATCAAAATAATGCAAGAAGCTGTGGTCTACAATTTTTTTTTTTTTTGAGACAGGCTCTCGCTGTGAGTTTAGGCTAGCCTTGATCTTGCTGTGTAGTCCTACAAATTTCTGTTTCAAGAAAACATGTAAAATGCAGATTCAATAGCAGTAGAGTGAATTATTTCCAAGAAGGGACACGTTAGCTGTTACGTACCTATGGAACAGGAGAGTTGGAGCCTGCTTCTCCTCCATCACCTTCCCTGCAGCCAGAACACTCAAAGCTGAGGCCAGACTCCTGGGTCCTCCATGCATTGGAGATTCAGATGGTTGGAGAAGGAGAAACCGTCTCCTGCAGAGGGGTGATAGTTTCTCCTCTCCCTCAGCCCCTCTCTGCCTCTTGGGTTGAAGACAGAAACATCTGCCATTCCCCACCCACCAACCCCGTCCCACTGTCACATAACCCAAGAGGAGGATCACTCCTTTCCTGGTGAGGAAAATCTGACAAAAACCACAGGAGAACATCCTAGGCTTTCACGGCAGATGTGAGAGGGGATCAAGAGGACCTGACTGGAGAGGCAACCAAATTTCAGTAACTCGGCTCTGTCACTACTTCTTTTAAGCACCGCTTTAAAAAAAAAAAAAAAAGACTAAAATCCCAGAACCCCAGAGCCTGAGGCAGGAGGATTGCCAGCCTGGACTAGTGAGTGCAAGGACAGCCTGACCTACATAGCAAGACTTTGTCTCAAAAAAGCAAAACAAAACACTAAGCATTGGGAGGTCTCACAATGCCAGAATACACATTCCTCTCAGCTGCACACAGGCTGTTCTCCACAGCCGTTCTCACGTACTGGCTCACAAACCATGCTTCAGTAAATGCCAAGGAATTGAAACTATCCCACGCACATTATCAGACCATAGTGCAATGAAATTAGAAATCCATGGCAAAGGGGCTGGGGATTTAGCTCAGTGGCATAAGCACCTGCCTTGCAAGCAGGCAGTCGTGAGTTCGATCCCTGGTACCAGGAAAAAAAAGAAAAAAAAAGAAATCCATGGCAAAAGAAACCACAAGAACTTCATAAACACATGGAAATTAAATAGTACTCTCCTAACAACCAATTGGTCACAGATGGAATTCAAGAAGAAATTAGTTTTTATAGTTCAATGATAATGACAATACAACATACCAGAACTTATAAGACACAATGAAAGCAGTCCTAAAGGGGAAATTTATAGCAGTTAGTACCCATATCAGCAAAATAGAGCAAGTACATGTCAACTACTTAATGCTGAACCCCAAACTTCTAGAAAAACAAGAGCAGGCCAAGCCAAAAGTTTGTATAAGGGAGGAAATTATATAGATCAGAGCAGAAATTATTGCACTGAGGACTAAACAAAAAAAAAAAAAATACAAAGAATTAATGAATCAAAGAGTTGATTCTTTGAAAGATTAAATAAAAGTCTTGGGGCTGGGGATTTAGCTCAGTGGTATAAGCGCCTGCCTTGCAAGTGCACAGTCAATCCCCAGTAACAAAACAAAAAAAAAAAAAAAGGAAGAAAGAAAGAGTAAATAAAACTCTTATTCAACCTTATCGAAAAAGGAATGAAAAGACTCAAATTTACACAATTAGAAATGAAAAGGGTGAAATCACAGCAGACCCAGCAGAAATCAAGAAGATCATCTATACCTATTTAGAAAACTTGTATTCTAATAAGATGAAAAATGCAGAAGAAATGGACAGATTCCTAGATACATATGAACCAATAAAAAAAAAAAAGAGGGCTGGGGATTTAGTTCAGTGGCCTAAGCACCTTACTGACAAGCTTGAGGTCATGGGTTCAATCTCTGGTATCAAAAAAAAAAAAAAAGAAGAAGAAGATACATATAAATCACCAAGGTTGAACCAAAAAGATATAAAAATCCTAAGTAAACCAATATCAATCAATAAAATTAAAAATTTAATTAAAAACTTACCAACAAAGAAAAGCCCAGCCCTAACAGATTCACTGCTGAATTCTACAAAAACTTTAGAGATCTACCATCACTACTTCTTAAACTCTTTAATGAAAGTAAAAGAGAAGCAATACTCCCAAATTCATTCCTTGTAGCAAGCATTATCCTGATACTAAAAAAGGACTAGAAAAGGACCCAACTAAGAAAGAGAAGCTAATTTCCCTAATGAACACAGATGCAAAAATCCTCAGAAGATACTAACAAACAGAATGTAGCAAAACATCAAGATTATATACCAGGAATGCAGGGATGGTTCAACATACATAAATCAATAAATGTAATATACCATATCCACAGAGCCAAGGACAAAAATCATATGATCATCTCAATAGATGCAGAAAAATGTTTTGGCAAAGTCCAGCACTCACTCAAGATAAAAATTATAAAGAAAATTGGAATACATGCTCTCTATCTCAGTCTGATGAAAATCATTTATAACGGCCCAATAACCAACATCATTCTAAATGGACAAAAACTGAAAACTCTCTTTAAAATCAAGAACAAGGCAAGGATGTCCAGTGTCTCCACTCTTATTCAACATAGTCCAGGAAACTCTAGCTGGAGCAATTAAACAACAGAAAGAAATAAAAAGAATAAAGATAGAAAAGGAAGCACTTAAATTATAATTATTTTCCAATACATGATACTCTACATAAAAGAACTCCAATAAAAAGCTAGTAGATTTAATAAGCAAATTTAGTAACATAGCTGGAAACAAAGTCAACATTCACAAACCAGTAGCATTCCTGTATACAAATAACAAACTCACTGAGTGAGAAATCAGGGAAACAACACCTTTCACAATAGCATCCAAAACAATGAAATACCTAGGAATCAATCTAACAAAGGAAGTAAAAGACCTCTACATTGAAAACTATAGTATAGAGATTGAAGAGGATGTCAGAAAATGGAAACACATCCCTTCCTCTGGAGTATGAAGAAACAATATAGTGAAAATGGCTGGGCCAGGGATTTAGCTCAGTGGCATAAGGGCCTGCCTGACAAGTGCAAGGTCATGCGTTCGATCTCCAGTACCGCAAAAAAACAAATAAATAAAAAAGAAAATGGCTATACTTCCAAAATTGCTATATAGATTCATTGCAATTCTGATCAAAATCCCAATTGTATATCTCAGAATTAGAGAAAACAATCCTAAAATTCATCTGGAAGCAGAAAAGGCCTAGAATAGCAAAGGCAATCCTGGGAAACAAACAGGAGAGGGGACATCATCACCCCTGACTTGAAATTATACTTAAAGCTACTGTGACTTGTGCAGCTCTGATGGCCTTCACAAAGGAGTCTGGTGTGTAAATCAGACACTCCCAGGATTCTGTCTACCCAGTCTCCCTGCCATTCTGACCCAACCTCCTGAGCTGTCTCTGCTGCCAGGATCTGGGCTTCCTGCCATCACCTCAGGCCTCACTTTCTGAAGGAGGTCGCTGAGGATCTTTGGGGTCTACCGTACCTCTGAGAGCCTGGAGAAGTTTGCACTGACCTCCACCTCTATACTTGGCTGCACCCATGAGGGGCTCTTTGCTCTGGCCTAGGATTCTGGGAGTTCTCTTCACTCTCATCCTGGAGGTAAAGTGAGAACCCTTTTTGGGGGGGTCTTCCCAAATGATAAATATCTCCTATAGTTTGAAAAATTCCCTCTCATATCCATTCTCAAAATCTCAGGGCGGCCAGTCAGTCCTGTTCAGGCGACTGTAACTGACCCTTTCCCAAACCCTGGTGTTCCTCTGACCTCACCTTGGCAGGCCACCTGGGCCTCACAAGGTCCTCTTGAGACAGGAGATTAGCACGTGGCAAAGCTGGCTAGGGAAGTGGGCATGACCTATTAATTACACATGTGCAGAACAGGTCCCAAAGCCCTGCAGGTGAACTTGAGCAGGTTTTCAATGGGATACCCCCCCATTATCTTGTTCTGAAATTTTGTCTTATTTTTTTCTCTTTAAAATAAAAAAATAACAGCA